TGTGCTCGGAAGGTCGTGGAAGAGGAAGGATGGCCCAGTCTCTATCGAGGATTCTGGTTCACAATGTTGGGTAACGTGTTTGGAAGCACAATGGCGTGAGCAGCTCTCAACGGATTGCTGTAATCACAATCAAACGAGACCCGTCAAAATCGAAGCTTCAGACTTATCACCTTAGCATAGTCCCGCATGTACATGTATTGACCACAATCGGCAACCCGCTCACGACAATTCATAGAAGATAGATTATATATACAAACAACAGATTGTTAAGATGCACAGCTCAAATCGTAAAGTCGTCAGATACGCGATCGTCCCCAATAATTTCACACGTCTACCGGTTAGATCGGCCTATCAACCAGCCCACCTGAGTCGCAAACTGGTCTCGAGATTGTGCAAGAGCCTCCCGAAAAGAGATCACCAGTGCAGACTCTTGTGGGCACGGGGCATTCAAGGGAGGAGCAGACATAGACCAGTGGCTACTGGTAAGGGTTTGGGATGACGGCGACACGCTGGTGGGGATGGTCACCAGTTTGTCTAGAGTCTCTGCCCAATGCGCCACTAGTGAGTGCGGGTGCATACCGCCTTTGTCGTTCACGTCCGAAGACAACCCCGTGACCCACGAAGACCAAGTCGAGAGCACAAACTTGGCCAGCTCCAAGACCAGCGGTGCAGGACCAGGCAGAGAGCTGTTGACGTGTGATGAGGGGATGATTGAAAGTATAGAGACGAGTTGCGAGGTAAGAGGACTGAGGAGAGAAAAGAGGGATTGAAAGTCGTTGGAAATCTGAACAGCAGTGGAAAAGTAATTGATGTAGGTCGTTGCCTAGATGTCGGGTGCAATTAGCATTGCCCAGCGAATACAAAAGGCGACGCTTACAGTGCGGCAATAAATTTCCACCTCGTTGGCAACGCGCTCCCACCTTCGACCTTCGGCAATCGTCCCTGGCACGACTAATGGTTGGGTGATAGACCCACCCGAGCGTTCAATGTCTACGAAGCGTCGGCCCAACTCCTTCACGCAGGACTTCAGATCCTGTCGCGGAATCATATCGAGAACGGATGAAGCTAAGGACGGATTTGCTTCGAGGAGCTGGATAAGAATAGGCAAATGAGCGGAAAGAGGCAGAGTAGCTGCATTTACAGTGTTAGCTTCGTGATAAACACAAGTCTGAAGTGGCCCTACGTACCCAGCATAACCCCAACATCAACACCACCCTTCTGATGTTGACCCAATTGAGAAGCATGAAGCTTGGTTCGTTTGCTGGATTGGTGCTCGAGCTGATTGACAGCTGCGGCTGCAGTTGAAACCGCATTGTGGGCTGTCGAAGCACCAGAGTCGGTCTTCAAGGGTGGCGAAGAAGGGGAGGTGGGAGGAGATAAGGATGGCGAGCGTTGACGTTTTGTGCGCTTCGAGGACTGCCGCACAGGGGATTGGGAAGGGTACTTGGCGCGTGGAGGCGAGGCCCTGCTAGGGGAGAAGGCGGCGCCAAAGCGGGTCGGGGTGGGGGAAGGGTTTACAGGATGTCCGAAACCATAGGAGAGAGGCGAAGGACGGGCGGCAAATGAGAAGGAGAGGGAGGAAGGCGGTTGCTGGGTAAGAGGATGGGCCATGGCAAGATGTGAAGCTGGAAGAAAGAGAATATGGAAATCCAAAGACACCGCACAGTCACCAGAACCTCTTACGTAACTTCAAAATTATAACGTATGTCATCACTACTTTGATGCTTTTACTGGGTCGTTCTTTTGCTTTCCCTTCTTTTCCGCCATCTTTTCCCATATCATTACACCTGGACAGATCAACACTAAAGTCAGCTAGCGCCATGACGACCGTGCAAAAAGTGAGATTCCTAGCAAGTGCTGCGAACGAGAGCTCATATGTCGTTGCAGATCAAAGACATTGAGGAGGAGATGGCGAGGACGCAGGTGAGTGACCATCCCTTTCATGATCTGATCAAGCTCATCTCAATTTCTTAGAGGAACAAAAACACCGAGTAGGTGGATCGACCCCCATTGAAACGAGACTGACTACAAACCATCAAGATACCATCTCGGGCAGCTGAAAGGTGCGCATATCATCGATACTGTCATACTTTTCTGACCCTGTTATTCATAGCCAAACTTGCCAAACTTCGTCGAGAACTGATTGCGCCTTCCGGAGGAGGTGGCGGTGGTCCTGGTATTGGCTTCGATGTTGCCCGGTCAGGCCAAGCAACGGTCACTGTCATTGGATTCCCGAGTGTGGTAAGTTGCCATTCATATGAACAGTGTCATGTTTGCTGAGCTCAACATCAGGGAAAATCCACATTCATGTCCAAGCTCACGTAGGCATTTCTGTGACCCCATGATTTTTGTTTCTCATGTCTCTGCAGCGGTACCCACTCTGAAGCTGCCTCTTACGAGTTTACTACTTTGACAACAGTACCCGGCCAAATGACATATAATGGCGCACGAATCCAGATTCTTGATTTGCCTGGTGAGCACTAATCTCCTGCTGAATTTGCCTAGCTGATCAACGACAAGGTATCATCGAGGGAGCCAAAGACGGCAAGGGTCGAGGTCGTCAAGTGATTGCTGTTGCTCGAACTTGTAATTTGATCTTCATCGTGTTGGATGTTCTCAAACCCCTCAACGACTTGGCTATCCTCACTCATGAATTGGAAGGCTTTGGAATTCGGCTCAACAAGAAGCCTCCAGCCATCACTGTCAAGAAAAAGGAAAGCGGTGGTGTGAGTGATTCTTGGACTTGTTGTACCTGCTTCAGTTGTTGATTTACTTTTTTCAGATTGCTATCACAAACACTGTCCCCCTCACCAAGATCGATGCGCAGGAAATCAGGGCTGTGTTGCAAGAGTATCGAATGAGCAACTGCGCCGTCTCCATCCACCAACCCGATGCAACCATTGAAGACTTCATCGATGTTGTGGAAGGCAACCGGTGTGTCCTATTTTGTTGTGTTCCTCTGACGTGTCACTGCTTACTCTGAATAGAGTTTATATTCCTGCCATCTTCGTCCTCAACAAGATTGATGCTATCAGTATTGAGGAGCTTGATCTTCTGTACAAGGTGCTTATTATTCGTTAAAATTGCTTTTCCTTTAGCTGATCAAGTAATATCACAGATTCCCAACTCCGTCCCTATCTCTTCCAAGCTTTGGCTCAATGTTGATGAACTCTTGGAAGTCATGTGGGACAAGTTGAATCTCGTCCGAATGTGTGTTGCATTTCTATCGTGTCGGCTACGCTAATGTCCATGTAGCTACACCAAGCCAAGGGGACAGCAGCCAGACTATTCTTCTCCAGTGGTGCTGCAACGTGGCAAGTGTACTGTTGAGGATTTCTGTAATGCAATCCACAAGGAGATTTTGAAGCAATTCAAGAATGGTCAGTAATGGTTCTCATGGAGAGGGACAAGGTGCTTATATATATGACAGCTATGGTCTGGGGCACATCAGCCAAGCATGTCAGAGGACAAAAGGTTGGCTTGGAGTAAGTGATTTTATCTGCACAAACTGTTGGAATTTGCTGATCACTGGCTGTGTGCTATGTAGTCATGTCTTGGATGATGAAGAGTAAGTCAACAGACCTGTCAGCTGTGTGACATCAACTGATAAAACCTTAGCATTATTTGTATCTTCAAAAAGTAGAGGTGTTTACCTCAGTGTGTTTGCCTCCAGTGTATAATTCATGCAATCATTTCATCAACAGGGCGCATCATTGTTAGTCAAGGGGAGCTGTGTTATGACCCAACCCACCTTCCACCAGTCAGGTAGCCAGCCTGCTACATAACAGCAAGCCTGTCTGGAGGTCACCAACATCTTATGATACCATTATCTTAGTGATGGCTTGATCATTGACTTGCTTCATCAGCACTTGTCTTATTTCAGTCACATGATGTGCTTGCTTATTCAGCAGACATCAGACTGAGACAGAAATGTAGAAGAAGGCGCAGCCAGGCGCAAGGAAAGCTAATCAATAGAAAGAGGAGGTGCATACACTAATGTCTGTTGGCGCACACTAAGACAAGGAACTATACACTACTGAGGATGGAGATGGAGACAAAGATGTAGATGTAGATGTAGATGGAGCATGGGGCATACCGGACACTGGTCATGCTACAGCACTGGTAGTTTGAAGTGTGATTCATGTGGCAGTGGGGGTGGTGATGGCATGGTTGTTGTTGGGCAATGCTCTGATTGCTACACAGGCTGCTGAGTGAGTCCCCTCCTTCCTCCCTTTATGGTGGGTGGGGAGAATCTTGGGCTGGGTTGGGTGAGGTGGGAAATGGAGATATAAGCTATAACCCCCTTCTCAACCTTTGCTATCCTCTTTTTCTTGCCCATCCTCTCACTTTCCATTGGACAAGCACATCCAGAATTTTCCCTCACCCTAATTGCTGATGTCAAACTGATTGCACTCTTCATCCAGACCCTGATCATCCCAGCAGCATAATCCCCCTCTCCTCTCTTTACTCTGGGCTGTATGATTGAAAAGAAAAAGTGTGGAAGCTGATGTTTTAGGGGGATAGGATAGTGGTATTGTATTTGATTATTATGCTATATGTTGTAGTCAGCATTTTGGACAATGAAATCAAAGCTGCCTGTAAGCCCCAATCTCCTTACTCCATCATACCCAGTGAAAGACAGAAAGACTCAGTAAGGGATCAAGCCTTGTACACACTTGCAAACATATCCTCTACCTCAAGACACTTTTTTGCATTTTTGGCTCTATCAGATCTGAATAAGTCCCCAGCCAAAGAAGGACAGCAGCACTACCCACTTTTGAAATGTCTGCTTGAGGCAAAAGTGACCTCAAGGCAGAGAATTCATAGATTGAGACAAACTATGAATGAGACCAGGCACCAACTGGCTAAAAAGACCAGAATGGTTGAATAAACAAATAGACTATAAGTAAAGTCTTCAGAAAGGCTAAGAGAGCAATAATGCCAGTCTCCTCCTGGGAGGACCAGTCAGCCTTAAGAACAGCAGAAGGCAAAAAAAGAATTACACCGTAAGGGAGTCGAACCCTTGCCGCAACTATTATTTCTTAATGGCAAAGTTGCATGATACCGTTTCACCAACGGTGTTAAGCCAAGTGGGCTATGCCAACTTGATTGCTGACCAACCTATAAAACCTTCATGAACAGATACCATATCATGAAATGGAACAGTTACAGGGTAAAGTGCCAATGCAATGTTGAGCATGATTTTATTCCTTTTTTGTGTCATACCATGTACTTTGAGCCACACAGACTGATTATGGAACTCCCTGAATGCATGTATCAAAAAAATATTGTCAGATCAGGACTGAAAGTACACTTTGAAAGAGCATCCTCAGGTTCATTTTCCAAAATCAAAAGTCCATGCATCTCAGGGCTGTGTCCATCTGTCCTTGCACCAATGCTGGACTCATGAGTCACAACACATGAGAAAAATCAAGCTGGAAGGCAACAATAGAAGTGATCACTTGCAAGAAGGCAACAGTAGAGGTAATTGATGATCACATACCTCAAGGGAATACTTCAATAGAATGATACAGTATTCTGGCTACATTGTGACAAAGTGTCTTGCTATGTGAATGAACATCTTGGTGTTTGATTTATTATATGATAAAAGTGGTTAGGCATTTGATAAGGGTGGCTATGTATATGATAAATGTTCTAGCGTGTTATAAGAGAGCAAGGGAAAAAACGCATCTGTCAAATTCAACTTGGCAAAAATCTTTCCCCAAGCTGCCCTCTGCAAGATGTCCTCCACTGATGGTACTGGGGTGCTGTCTTTGATGGTGACTGCGTTCAGCCCATGGTAGTTGCAAAGGAAGCAGAACTTCCCATTTTATTTTCAATGAGGAACGCTGGGGCTGCCCAGGGTGAACTTGAGGTACACAGACAACCTGCATCAACATGTTTGCTGATCTCTTCCTTGAAAGCATCCCTCCAAGCCAAGGGTACCTGGAAATACAGCCAAGCCACCGGCTTGGTGCCAGGAACAACATTGATGTGGTATTGCACCTGGGAATGCACCTGGGAATTGGAGGAGGCTGGCTTGGTGTACTGCAACACCTTGGACAACTGGGGAGGGAGGATGTCAGCAAAGTTGGCAAGAATTCAAGCAGTGAGTGCTTTGTGTTGATTGACAAGCTCAGAAGCCAACTCCAATGACACTTCACTGACATGCCTATAGGCTGTCTTCGGTTTGAATCCTTTGGCACCACACTCTCTCAGCAACCTGCAAGCGCCAGCAAACAAGGCATGTTGAATGTGAAAGGGTAGACCAAGGATCAGGCAGTTAGAGGGCCCCAATGGCATGATGGAAGTGTTGGCATCACTCCGCAGTGTTGGATGGTGTGTGTTGGTTGTGAGAAGCGAACAAGTAGCCCGTTTGCATGTATCTGGATGAACATTGTCAATATATATACCAGAAGGAAGACCAAATGGGAAATAGGGACAAGTGACAGACAACAAGAGTAGCATAAGGGAAGAAGAAAGATGGATGAGAAACCAACAAAGCTCACCTGGACAAATATTGTCAATATATATACCAGAGAGAAGACCAAATGGGAATATAGGGATGCTGTCCAGGAGTCAATCATAGTAAGGCAAAGACAAGAAGACTTTGTACTCACAGGGACAGAAGACAAGAGTAGGATAAGGGAAGAAGAAAAATGGATGATAAACCAACTTCAATCCCTGGGCTTGAGTCATCTGTCCCTGCAAAGCAAGACAGTTGCACAACAAAACACACAAGTCCAAAAGGCCAAATGTCCAAAGGTGGCACAAAAGTACGGAGATAGGAGGATAACCAAGATGCAGAAGTGGCAAAGGCCAAAGAAACTGGAAAACACATAACTGAAACACAGTAGTGGCAATGGCCAAAGACGTGAGTGAAAATGGCTAAGTCAAAAGCAGCCTGCTGTTTACACCCTCCCCCACCTGTCAAAAGACCTGGGGGTGTGAGAGACAGTGACCTAACAATAAAGAAGTAAAAAGAAACCCATCTCAAGACAAGAACAAGCCAAAAAGGAGAAGAAATGAGGTCAAATATGGAAAAGGCAAAACAAAATCAAACAAGCCTGCCAAAAGGAAACACAAAAGCCTATCTACTGAAGTCTATGTAGAATGGTAGGCCGGCAATGACCTACTTCAGTTGTGACAGTGAACCCATCCACCCCGCTGGTGTGGACAAACAGAGCTGAAATGATTTGTACAGGTCTATGGCAAAATAGAGCAAATCAAAAGGAAAACCCAGTGGGACTTTTTGCCATTGTCAGAGGTATATGCAGCTTGAGGAAGATGATGGAATTACTGGGAGGGGGGAGGGGATGAATAAGAGGAGTGGTGACCTGGCGTTGTCCTCCAGCAGCTTAAAGCTGTCCACCATTTCCAGATCCAACAGGTCCACCAACAGCTTGTCATTGCCCAAGAAAGTCTCCCACACCGCCCTCCAACCCATATACATCTTGGCCTCCTCCTTGCTAACCCATTTGGACTTGACACCATCCCGGCAAGTTGTACTTGAACTTGCTGGACAGGGGGGTGCAGGGGGGCAAGAGCGGATAGTCTTCTCATTGAGAACTTGGATGATTTTGGGTAGAGCAGAGGTTGTTATCGCGCCGATACTTCTTGCCGGCCTCGGTGACGTGCCCGTTGAGCATCGGGACGTCCGGCTGACCGGGCCAGCGAGAGGGCAAAGTGTAGGGGACGTCTTGAACCCAGGAGGCACGAGTTGTGGGGGGCCTGGGGAAGGTAGAGGAGGGCTGGGGGGCGAGCGAAGCAGAAATCGGGGCCAGATGGCGCAAGTGCCCGCCTTCCGAGCGCCAAAGACTGTCCTGCGTCCTGACATCCTTGCAAAAGTCTTCGTAAGAGCTGTAATACTCTGCGGGCTTGAGCAGGCGGTCGCGCAGCCCAGAGTTGAGACCACTCTTCACCATAGGAATGAGGACGGAGAGGGAGATAGGCTGAAGAAGGTCGATCGCGCCATAGAGGGAGCTGAGATGCTCGCGCCCAGTGCGAGTCCCTTGTTTAGCCGACTGAAGGGTCTGCGCGGCGCTGGCAATGCGTTCTCCCCGGGGCTGCCCATAGTTGGTGATGAGATACTTGGTGAAAGAGCCCCACGACTCGAGCCAGGGCTGCGAACTGTCCTCCAATAACGCGGTGCTGACACGCTCACCCAACGCTCCTCGAAGGAAGCCAGCTGCCCACATGATCTGAGAGCGGGCGGTGGGATAGTACGCCTGGTATGCGCTGAAGTAGTTCTCACTGGCGAGAAGGAAGGAGTTAAGGGCGCTAGTGTCACTGCCATCGAAAAAAGCAGGGTTTGGGGGTCGCGGAGCTGACGTGATGGGGCTTGGCTGATGCGGGCGGGCTGGCGGAGGGGGGCGGGAATGGTGGGTTCAGCAATCGTGTTGGGTGATGCCCCTCCCCGGGCGGCCAAAATTTCCTTCGCTTGCAGCTGCAGCTCCTCTTTCACCCTTGCCGCTTCTTCCTTCTTCCGCTGCTCCTCTCTTTCCATCCTTTCATTCTCCAACCTCTCGCTCTCCTTCTCACCATTCTCTTCTTGAATTCTGGAAATTTCCTTCTCCAATTGCTTCTTCGCCTCCTCTTCCTTCTCTAAATTCTTCTTCGCCTCCTCTTCTTCCTCAATTCTCTTCTGGATATCGGCTTTCCTCGCAGCTACCAGTTCTTGGTAGATGGTGTAGATGGGATCACCTTCCTCCAACTGGAGTGCTTCCATGTTGGCGATGACCTCGTCAATGGACTTGGCTGGCGGCATGGTGACGCGGTTGTCAGGGTGGGGAGGGTGTGTGTTGTCGAGTGTTGTTGTGGGAGGGTTGGGATTGGAGCGAGTAAGGTAGTGGTGGGTTGGAGGGTGGTGGGAGAAGCTTTTGTTTCTCGGCATAAACTCCTAGCCCGCTGTACACTTTAACGACCTGTCAAATTGTCACGGCAAGGTAGGAGAGATGAGGGTGTAGGACGGGCTAGGGTGAGGGCGAGGGCGTAGTGATGGGGGTGGCGACTATGGCGACTGTGGCGAGGCTGTGATGACTGTGGTCTATAGCTAGGATGACTGTAGAAGAGGGACCTTGCCTAGGTTGTTAACCTCGGACGTGCATTGACAGGTCGATAAAGAAGAAGAGAAAGAAGAAGAAAGAGCTATGAACAAAGCAACCGTTCCTACGCACAGTCCTCCCTCCATGCACACAGCGTTCCACGATGCGGCTTGGAGCTCCTGCTTCGTACCTTTGGTCCTCTGTGGACGATGCCTCCCCCCGGAGCACCGCCACTATGACTCCCGCAGATACTGTGACAGAGAGGAAGGGCGGGGCAAAAGTTGAGGAGTGATATCTTTGTGATATCTGTCAGATTTGAGATACAGTTTAAGCTTTGAGACATGCCAGCATGCAGTAGACTGAGATGTCAGCACAACAGCTGATTCATAGAGAGATTGCTCAGGGAAAGCGGCCATGATTGTGTATAGGCCCTCCCATTGTAGGACCATCTTAGTGAGTTTGTAAGTCAAGATTTTGTATTTGTGTCTGAAATCTCTGGTATGCAGTGAAACCTTGTTGAAAGATGGGGTCAGGGCGCCAACGTCAAATTGCCTTGTATTGACTGAGGATGTTTGGAGATAAGCAGTCTATCTTGGGCCTCAACCTTTGTTTGTATCCATGATGCTTGCACCCAACTCCCATTCTTCTTTTGTTGGATAGAAGTAGGAAAAGTCAAGCGAGCCAGGGCTAATAATGGCAAGGATGGAGGGAGGGGGGGGGGGGGTGGAGGGCAAGACACCTTCTGTATACGAGCTCTGCAGGGGCAAATTTAGTAGAGGGATGTACCACATTATTCATTGCAAATGCAATGCATTGAAGTTTGTTGCTCCAGTCTCACCCCTGTTTGTCCGTCCACACTCTGAGCGACTGAGTGACAGTCTTGTTTCAGCGCTCACAGTAGCATCAGTCTGAGGATGATAGGCTGTAGACATCATGAGCTTGGACCCACATAACTCACCAGGTTTCTTCCAGAACAGTGCCATGAACAATTTGTCTCTGTCCAAGATGATGGCTGTTGGCACGCCATGTCTTGAAAGC